TTCCTTCCTTCCTTCCTTCCTTCCTTCCTTCCTTCCTTCCTTCCTTCCTTCCTTCCTTCCTTCCTTCCTTCCTTCCTTCCTTCCTTTTACACAATTTATAGGCTGCTCAATTCTCAATGGCTCTAGGTAGCTTATAATTAAAAAGTAAAAAAAGTACAACGTATCAAAAAAAAATCATGAGGGGCCCGAAGGCAACATATATCCAGAAAAATCCATCCAGCAGGGGCTCAACCTTCACCTTCCCCAAAGCCTGGATGAATAATAATTAATAGCTTAATGAACATCAGCAGGGTGGGAGCCATCTGGATCTCTGGTGGGAGGTCATTCTAAAGGGCAGGTGCTGTGACAGAGAATGTTCTTCCATTTCAATAATCTCTTTAATCCTATTTTGTCATTCTGTAACTCCACTTATAAAAGGTTTGAGTGTAGTTTTTCCATGTTTCTTTAACCTCTATTACTTCTCATCTGTGATTACTCTTGAATATACCTATCTTATCTATACATTTTTCTGGGATTTCTCTGAATTTCTGAAAAATTCTCTCATTTTCTTTTCCTTACTATCTTCCTCTACTTGTTCAGATTCTTGACTGAGATATCTTTTCTTATCCTTTCATGCCTGACACTGAAAATCTATTTTCAGACATCATACAGTCTTCATGTTGTGCAAGACTTTCATCTCCTCTCTTACTATTGCGATCATGACAGCTTGTTCTGAAAGCCTCCTGAATCTTTTCTTTGAAATTTTGGGATTTCTTTTGTCCTCCAGTTTTGACAATGTCTCTTCTCTCTTTGGATAGCTCCTCAGGTTCACTTCTGCATGTTAATCAAATTAAATATGTTCCTTCTGTTGACTTTATGCCCTGCAGGTCATTATGTTAGTGGTACACCTACTTTTCTTAATGTTGTAAGTTTAACTCACTTGCTAAAGAATCTGACTGTGACAAAACTGTTTGCTTCTCACCCTATCTTTCTAGAGAATCCTTCTTGACCTCTCATTCCAAGTCTATGGGATAGGACAAGTCCATCTTTCTTCTGCATTATTCTCTATTATTTTTTAAGCATATGAAAATTCCAATTTATTCCTAAACTCGAATTAGAAGCAGGAAAATGCTCTGAATGTATTCAAAAGTGAACTTGCTTGGACAGCATGTGGGTGACCTTTCATCTAGATCTCTGTGTGCATCAGTCAGTGATTTAAATTTAGTCCATTCGACTAGCACTTCTTGGCCTTTTGCCTCAGATCAAGAGTAGCTCATTCTGCTGAATTCAGTTAATCCATTTTGCAATCATAATATTGAGTGGAACTCATAGTTCACCTTGTCTACAAGTGCCACCAGCAATTCAACTTAAGCTAGGCTAACTCCTTTGTAAATCCCTCTAGAGTGAAGGCCAACTTCCCCTTAATAAAGTGAGCTTTATGGCTTTGGCACAAAAGGTACAAGAAGGGATTGAGAAAAATTATTTGCATTTCTGAAGAATATTAGCAATTAAAAAAAAACCTCAGTGGAAACATTCTAGTCATGGCGTTGAAGAGTGATAAGATGGGCAGAGGAAATTGCAAGGGCAAGTAGAGAATATTACTTTGACTGAGATTATATTTATTTATTTATTTATTTATTTATTTATTTATTTAG